TTTCCTTCCTGCTAGGGAAGGAAAGGCAGCTCCCCGCCCTCTCCGCCTCTCCGGCTGCGACCTCTCCGTGCGCGCGTGCGGGCGGGCAGGCGCGCGCAGCATGTCTCCGTACCTTAGGCTTTTTTTCAGCTCCTCTGATTTTCTTTCTGGTTTTCTCTTTCCTTCTTGTTGTAGGAATTTCAGTCAGTCGACTACCTGTAGCTCTGGGCAATGTCCACTCTACATTTTAGTTGTATTCCATTGAAATTGTTGTGTGCTGCCGCAGCTAGATGTCTACCCGAGCAGCCATCTTGGATCCTCCTCCGACACCTATCTCCAGACTCTTAATATTGCAATAAACAAGCCACTCAAAGACAATTTGCACAGGAAATTAATGACTACATTAAAAATAGAATGGGAGAAATCAGCATGGAAACTTTGTGAAACCTAAATTGCAAGAAGTTGTTACTTAGGTGAAGAATTCATGGGAGAAAATCACTGACAGTTGCATTGCAAATGCACTGTGAGCAGGCTACCTTGACAAGAAGTACTCATTTAAAGACAGTGCTATAAATGAGAGATTTGCTAAACATGAGAGATTTGGTACACTGATTCTGAAAGAAATGGAGTCACAAAAAATTCACGAGGAAATTCAGGAATTGGATTGTTATGATGATGTTCTAGAAGATGATGACGATTATCATTGAATAAATGAGTAAATTCTTGATACTGTAGGATTCACAGTTTGGTTTTTGTTGACAACTACCATACTACCGTACCGTATACAGGTAATAAATTTCCTTTATTTTCATTTAACAATAAATGTGTACCGTATTCTTCTTCATGGAAAAATAAGTCATCCCCTAAAATTAAGACCTAGCACATCTTGGAGCAAAAATTAATATAAGACACTGTCTTATTTTCGGGGAAACAGGGTACTAGCATCTCTTGAGTTAGGCCAGTTGATGTGCTAAACATCCCATAATGTACAAGAAGGCCCCACAACAAAGAATTACTGCCCCAAATGTCAACAGTGCCAAGGTTGATAAATACTACTTTATTTCTCAGTTTGATACCATATCTTTCAGGAAAGCCTTCCTGAATAAACCAGACTGAGTTAGGTACATCTTCTTGGATTCCCATAGTACTCAGCGTTGTATTGTACAACCATGTGTCACTTAATGACAGAGATAAGTTGTTAGGAAATTTTGTTATTGTACAACTATTATAGAGTGTACTTCCATAAGCCTAGATAATCTAGATTACTACATACCTAGGATTATGGGATAGCATATTGCTCCTAGGCTACAAACCTATACAGCATGTTACTATGCTGAATACTGTATCTGTAACACAATGGTGAGTATCTGTGTATCTAAACATGTCTAAACATAGAAAAGGAATACGTAGTAAATATATGAAATAAAAGATTTTTTTAAATGGTACAACTATATAGGGCATTTACCATGAATGGAGCTTTGCAGGACTGGAAGTTACTCTGGGTCAGTGATCGGCAAACTCATTAGTCAACAGAGCCAAATATCAACAGTACAACAATTGAAATTTCTTTTGAGAGCCAAATTTTTTAAACTTAAACTTCTTCTAATACCACTTCTTCAAAATAGACTTGCCCAGGCCATGGTATTTTGTGGAAGAGCCACACTCAAGGGGCCAAAAAACCGCATGTGGCTCGCAAACTGCAGTTCGCCAACAACTGCTCTGGGTGATCAGTGAATGGGTGATGAGTGAATGTGAAGGCCTAGGACATTACTGTACACTTTACAAACACTGTATCCTTAGGCTATACTAAATTTATTTTTAAAAAATATTTTTCTTCCTTCTGTATGAAATTAACCTTAACTGTAACATTTTTACTTTATAAACTTTTTAGTTTTTAGTTTTTTGTTTTAACTTTTGACTCCTTTGTAATAATACTTAACTTAAAACACAAGCACACTGTAACATTATTATAGTAATGACAACAGGAGGCAATAGGAACTTTTCAGCTCCATTACAATTTTATGGGACCACTGTCATAAATGTGGTCCATCGATGACAATGACCAAAATATCATTATGTGGTGTATGATTCTATATGAATCTGCTTTTTCCATTATATCACGTGTGACTTTCAACCAGGCACCTTAACGTTGTTCCTAGCACATAGTAGGTATTCAGTAGAGTAGCAGAGACTGCTATCTGCTTTCCCTAATATCCAAACTTCCTCTTAGCTAAAAGAACACCAACTCTCAGTTGGGCGCATGGTCATTTGGAATAAATACTACATTTCCCCACCCCCCTTTTATATATGGTCATAAAACTTAGGTAAGTTATAATCAATGGAATGCAAGAAGAGCTACCTGCAAGCTACTAGGAAATATCCTAAAAAAGTACTAAATGCCCCTTCTTACTTGCCCACTCTACTCCAACCCTGCTGTTTAAGACATAGATGATATGACTAGAGCTCCAACTTGGACCATTTAGATGATGGAGCCAAAAGCTGAAGCAGCCTTGGTATGTCTTCTTTTATATAATTAGCCACTATTTTGTCTAAAACCATTGTTATTTTGGATCTCTATTTTTTGCAGACACCTAATCTAAAATAATAAATAATCTAATACCCAACTTCTACTTTTTGTTATCAATTGCCATATTCTTCAATAAAACACAAATTGTACTTTATTAATTTACGTTCTCATTCTACTTTGTTATTCTTCACTGACATATTCTGAAATAAATATATATTTTTCTTCCGCTGTTTTCCTTTTCAACCTGTTTTGTTGTCAATTATAGTCCCTGTTTATTCAATCGCATTTCTCCAGCTAGCTCAGCTACTTATCTCTTCAATTTGATTTGCAAAAGAAGCACAGTGATTTCCACAACTCCAAAGGCATTCCTCTTAGATGGTATTTGATTAACAACTAGTTTTTTAAAGATAAATTTTCTGCCTTCACAAAGTATAAGTAATCCAAAGTAAATAGGCTTATTCTCTGACAATTTAATGAAAAAATATAATATTTATAAAATTCTTCTGGAATATTTTAATTTGAGCTTATTGAGTTCAGGTAACTCTAATTTGCATGCTATTAATTTTACATGCTGTAAAACTGATCATAATTTATAGGAATATAGCCTGTCTTTGTCTTAATTTGCTCATAATATTCTTGTTATTCTTAAATCTCTATTCTTTGTACCCCCTCAAAAATATCTCCATTTTTAAAAACTTTTTGGTATTGTTTTCACTTATTAAATCTCCCCTTGCTATGGATCTGATTTGCAGTTTTTTTTATTAGAAGCTTTAGAGTTGTCAGTTATCACGTTCTTATTCTCTTGTATTTACTCTGCTATTATATTTGTCATTCCAACCTATTTGTACTTAAGAGTTACATATGCTTGTCTGTTCTAAGAATGGACACACTTCTCTCTGAATTATGATTGTGATTCATGTACTTGTTCTGTTTAAGCAATCATTACATTGTTCTGTTTTTCTGGTTTTGTTTTTGACCTAGGAAATTTCGTTGGCTAATCCTTTCTCTCATCCTTGAGTATACATTGGTGGGCTTTTTTGTTATTGTTACTGATTTTCATTTGTTCCAGGTAATTTTATAGTACTTTAATGAGCTTAATAGAAACAATTGTACATTCTAGTAACTTCTTAAGTATTCCCAGATGGAAATGGCTGAAATTCCACAAAAATTCCACAATTCATAAAAAGAGAGCAATGAAAATAGCTTACTGAAAGGTGAACATGGTGGTAAATGGATCTGTCACTTATTTCTATTTCTTACTCAAAATATTTGAGAAGCAGGTCTCAGCAGTAGATACCATTCACTACTCAGCAAGATCCTCTTCCATATTCAATCACTGGGAGAATTCTACTGCAATACATCTATTTGCATAAAGTATTTTCCTTAAATTGTACTCCCCCTGCCTTCTACACAAACATTTATTTTAAAAAACAAAACATTTTCATTAATTTCAGAGAGGAAGAAAGAGAGAGTAAGAGATAGAAACATCAATGATGAGAGGAAATCATCAATCGGCTGCCTCCTGCAGGCTCGCTACTGGGTTCCAAGCCTGTAACCAGGACATGTGCCCTTGACTGAAATTGAACTGAGGATCTTTCAGACAACAGGCGGACATTCTATCCACTGAGCCAAACTAGCTACACAAATATTTCTTGAAAAATAAAGGCAAAAACACACTTTAAAATGTCTTGATTATTTTTTTCTTTCTCTACTCTCTATTAATTTGGAAGAATGAACTACTACTATCTATCTATACTAATAAAAGGGTAATATGCTAATTAGACTGTGTGACCTTCCAGGAGACTTTCTAGACATTCTTCTGGACAAAGCCATGGTGGCGGGGCCAAGATAGAGACAGACCAGACACACCCTGGAGTCCTCCTGTGGTCCTTCCTTGACTGACTAACCTCCCACGTCTCTCCGTGGCCCCAATCTTGCACCAGTGGGGTCCCTTGGCCTGACCTGCACTCTCTCACAATCTGGGACCCCTTGGGAGATGTCGGAGAGCCGATTTAGACCTGATCCCACAGGTCAGCCCAAGAGACCCCACTGGTGCATGAATTCGTGCACTGGGCCTCTAGTTCATGAATAAACGAATGAATTAAGTAAATGAAAGGATCTATAATGAACAAGCTATTTTTAAAAACTTTTTGATTCATATACATCCCATTTAATAAAAGGCTAATATGTAAATTGTCCCCTCAGGAGTTCAACCGGAAGATCGGAAGTTCGGGAGTTGTGACATGCACTGACCACCAGGGTGTGGTGTGGAACATGGAGGGGACCAGCCGCGGCAGGGCGCTGAGAGAGCAAGGGAAGGAGGAGGCGGGGAGGCCAGAAGGTGGGGAACCTAACTGACCCTGATTACCGGCCAGGCCTAGGGACCCTACTCATGCATGAATTTCATGCACCGAGCCTCTAGTATATATACATATACAAATACATCTTTATTAGCTGAATATAGGATCAAAGTAAAAACAAAACATCTACTCACTTTGACAGAGATACTCCACCAGCTTTCCCAATCATCTCTTCATGGTGTAATACTGAGTGGTTCCATGGAATATGGAGGAACTTTAAGAGTGTTCGCATCCACCGTTCAGGATGTAAGACAAGTTGTTCATAGTGAACTAACATGCATTTTTTATAGCCAACCTCCATACACTGGTTATACATGGTTTCTATGGCACGATTCCACTTGGTCAAACAGTCCCTGTAGCTGTTCAGGTCAAACCCGGCTATTGTAACTTTTCGAGAAATCATTGAATGTACTGACGCCCGGCCATCTCGGACCATCAGGAGAAATTTGGCATTGGGAAATAATCTAGCAAGGTAAGTTAAGGACTTCAGGGCAAAGGGATCTTTATTACATAAATAAGGAGCTGGCTCTCCGTGCTTAACAATGATTTCCAGTAAGAAGGCTTGCATGGCAGAATCCAGCACTTCATCGGTGACACCAGCCTCATCCAAGCGTATTTTCTCTTTACTCGACCGTGACCACATCTGCTTCAGGGCCAGGATTCGAGGGATGACCCTGGTTTCCTCTCCACAGCGAACATCAGGATGTGCATCTAACATCGCCCTCATGAGTGTGGTTCCGCTCCGAGGCACACCTCCAATAAAAATTAAAGGCATATCTTTGTGATAGGCAAAGGATTTGTTGGCTTTGATGTCCAGGCCAATTCGCACAGTCGTCTTTGTGCTTTCCAATTTGAGAGGTTGACTACGTTCCTCTATTCGGTGATGGCATTCCATGGCGTGTTGGCCCAAGTAAAACACAGTCACAGAACTAATCACCAGACATGCCAATAGTAAGTTCTGCTTCAGTTTTGCAACCATCTTGATGTGGTTATCTTTTTATTAAACAGATATTTTGCTCAAAATTATTTCCAGAAAATGTTCAGGCCATGGAGATTCTTTTCCAGAAAGATGATCAACATCTAATGGGAAAAGGAAACAATTATATTATTAAGATTGTTTATAAATTAGTCATCCGTTACAATGATAACATTTTAGCTACAAAGAAGCTGAAGCTCTTAGATCCTTTAATATTCTTGGAACACAAATATACAAAAGTGTGAGCAAAAATAAATCAACATTTCCAATCACAAACAGCTTCTTAATCTGACAATTCTAAAACTATGCACAAAATGGAAAATCCAATAAAACTACTTTCATCAGCGAATCAAATGAATATTTAGTATGCCCAAACATATCTCGAGTCTAACCCAAGGCTCATGTCTGGTATTTAGATTTGATTCATCCCCAAAAGTCATTATCTCCACATTCTAGTATGGAGAGAAATTATAGAAAAATATACAACTTATAAATATTTAACACAGATTCAGTTTATTCATCCCACGAATTATTTATTTGGGTACTACTGGACAGATACTTGGGTTAGCTGAGGATAAATTTTGAAAAGGACAGCCGTATAGTGACCCATGGTATCAGGAAATAGTCTTGTGAAGAGGCAGATATGCAAACAATGACAATAAAATGCAATCAGAGCCTTAGTAGAAATAAACACAGTGGACAATGGAAGTATAATTAAAAGCAACAAATTAAGTCTACCTGAGGAAGCTACAAAGATCTTATAGAAAACTAGTGACCCAGTGCATGAAATTTGTGCACATTAAGAGGGAATTTATTAGAGGAAATATTTTAATATTGCTATTTGCCCTTTCTCTATAATGGAAGTGTCAGAGATGAAAGAAAATTAGTAAAATGTATATTAAAATCTTTCTCCTGTTAGAGCCTGGGTCCCCGCCCACCCACATGTGCTTCAAAATCACAGGAGACCCAGGCTTGGCCAGGCCCACCCCCATTAAGCCCCACAGGGAGGCAGGTGCGGCCTGAGATGCCCTGGCTCGGGCTGGGGGGGGGGGCGCCTTGAGGTCCCCTGTCAAGCCCAACTGGGCAGGGGGGGGTGGGGGGGTGGGATCAAGAGGTTCTCCCAACTAGCCCTGTGGGTGGGGGACACGGCCTGAGGTCCCCTGTCAAGTCCCGCATGGCAGGGGCATAGCCTCAGGTCCCCTGGCCTGGCACTGGGGTGAGGAGCGCAGCCTGAGGGCCCCCAGCCTGGCATCGGGGCGGGGGGGGGGGGGCGGGCGGGGGTTGGTGGCCTTGAGGTCCCCTGTCAAGCTCCATGGTGGGGGGGGGGGGTATAGCCTCAGGTCCCCTGCCCCAACCCAGCACCACGCAGCCTCAGGTCACTCACTGCACAATAGATAATTGTATCAACACAATTTTGGAGATTTTTTTTCAAGTTTTAATATCAATTGTATTTTAAACACTGTCTCCCCAACACACATGAGCAGGGAGAGTATTTCTGCAGCCTTTCAGGATGTTTGAATGTAAGTGTGACAGTGGTCAAAGGCCTTGTAAGGGATATCATAAAGAAAAAGAAGGGGACTTTTTGCTCCCCTAGAAACATTCACATTACTTTTTACTAAGCTTATGAAGCCTGCTATTCTCTCTTCGGATGTTTCTAAACTTGGAGAATCACAGAATTATAAATCATAAGTGCTAATGGGACCTCCAAATCATTTGGTCCAATGTTCTCATTTTATAGATATACAAACTGAGGTTCTCACCACCATCTAAATCTTACCTGTTCTTCAAAGGCCACTTTTCTTTTTATTATGTATATTTTCCTTACTCCAAAAATATTTTAAATTCCTGAGGCTTACAGGATCTTGTCCATGTCCCTGTCCCCTACCACAGCACGTGTCCAGGAGTTCATTTGAACAATAGCTTTGCCGGCACAGCATGCTTAACAGAACCAGGTCACCAGGTCCACTCAGCCTTCAAAGAGAACCAGTAAACTAACCAAACTGGGAAGTACATTTCTCAAGAAGAGAAATGCTGTGGAGCTTGTGGACTCTATTCACACCTTAATACTAATTCTTCTCAAAATCTTGAGGGGAAAAAAAATAGCCCTATAATTTAAGAAGTACTGGACAAGAAAAGCTGGTCTAACCATTTCCCTTAAATATTCAATCCCTATGCACATGCATTGCATACATGTGAATATACACACAGGGGACTCGTTCCATTACTTTAAACTCTATTTTATTGTATTTTCAGACAAGCAGTATAAATATTTTCTCAACTAGGACATTTAAAGAGCTGAGGCTGAGCCAGAAGGGAATACTGTAAGTTTAGTCTCATTTTTATCTCCAGGGGAAAGAAAAAAGCATTGAAACACTATAACAAACTTATCTGAGAAGTCACTATTAATAGCACTGCCCTTTCCCAGCAAGCTAAATAGCAGACTCCCAGAAATACTGCTCTACAGAATGAGAGAGTGCTGACATTATACTTTTATGCTTACATCTTTGCAAATTTTATAAACATTTTTAATAATAATTTTAAAAAAACAGCATCATAAAACAAAAGCAGAAGTACAGAGTCTGGTAGTCAGCAAGACCATGTCCAACACGCAGGCATACACACAGGTCCAAGCACATGCATTGTGCTTTTATAATCACAGAAGTGGCCATGTGCTAAGTCCAAAGAGATGCTACATAAATGTCCAGAAAAAATATAAATTATAGGAACACAATGTTCTCTTAAAAACTTTTTTCGTTAATCATTAGCTCCTTGCTTCCCATGCCTATTTATGATGCAAACTAATGCTGCAAATAGCAACAGCCAATGCCATTCTGTCTGCTGTCTAAAGTTCAATCTACAGGGTATGGCAAAAGTAGGTTTACAGTTATTTGTACGGAAAATAATACAATAATTAATAAGTAATACTAAAAGAATAAATCCTGTGTTTTGTGTACGCACAACCGTAAACCTACTTTTGCCTCACCCTGTATAGCTGGTTTCTCTAATCACTTCTAGCTCTTGAACTTGCCAATTAATGTTTCTAGGAGTTAATCTGAATAGCTTTGCGAATCAGGAAATAAACCCATGTTGCAAGATCAATCCTTAAGTCAGCTCATGGTCAGAGCACAAACATGAGAGCATGTTTTTCTAGCTACACATTGGAGGCCAGCCCTAGACCCACTGACAATAAATGGCAAATAGTAAGAAGACCATGTTATACACAGCTGGTGATCTCTGGGAGTCTGCTGGGACACATATTCTTAAAGAAGCAGTATACTAGGGTTTTGTCTTCAATAAACACCATGGTCAGGAGGGAAAAGAGTTGGTCAAATACTAAGAACTGGACCTAATGCCTAGAACACAACAGAGATAAAAGCACAAATTAAACTGGAGCATAACTTTATTAACAGTTCCAGTTAAATGAAATTCAGAAATTCAGAAATATCTGAGGGCACATGTATGAATGGGGAGAGGGTTATATATGAAATTAGATGGCTTATAAGTTAATAAATGTTGAAGTGAATAATGAGTACTTATGGTTCAATGTAATTTTCTATTTTTAGATATGTTAGAAAGTTTTCATTATAAAGAGCCAAAATGAAATAACCAAGTTCTAACTTTCTCAAACCTGCAAATCAGAAGATCACTGGGCTAACCATTCTTCCTCTAGTTTCTTCACTAATGCTTGTTGTCTATGGAAACCACCCATGAGAGAAAACACAAAGATAGCAAATTTGCTCAAATTACATCCTCTCATTCAGTAATTCAATTATGCAATTTACCACCAACCTTCTAATTTTCAGAATTAAAAATAACTGGAATAGAAAAAGGAGAAAAGAAGATGGTGTTGAATTAATGTAAAAGAAGCGTAGTATATTTGAGAAGACTTGGGGTCTAGTGTGAAATCACTTTTTTCTTAGCCATATGGATCTAGTTCAGCAATTTTCAACGGGTGTGCCACAGGAATTTTTAAAACATGTAAAACCTGACTATTTAGTCAGGGGAACTGACTTCTTTTCCCTTAGATTGTCAAATAAAAAATGACAACAGCCAACACAATAACCATCCAGTGTGAATGAATCAAAATTATACATATTTTTTTTAAATATATTTTTATTGATTTTACACAGAGAGGAATTGAGAGGGACAGAGAGTTAGAAACGTCGATGAGAGAGAAACACCGACCAGCTGCCTCTTGCACACCCCCCACTGGGGATGTGCCCGCAACCAAGATACATGCCCTTGACCGGAATCGAACCCGGGACCTTTCAGTCCGCAGGCCGACGCTCTATCCACTGAGCCAAACCGGTCCCGGCTATACATATTTTTTTTGTTAGGTTGACAAAAATGTATATTTTTTGGTGTCCCACAGAATTTCAGTAATTTTAGAAATTTTGGTGTGCCACAAGATAAAAAGATTGAAAATCGCTGACCTAGATATAATAAATCCCTGAGCATTAATTCCCTTGTCAATAAAATCGGAATAATGATAATCAAACACTTTTTCACATGTAATTAGAGTAGGAATTATGAAAAGAGGGAAGAGCGGAAGTGCAAAAGGAGAACCGGCCCGCTCTCCTTCCTTTCACAGAGCTGCTGTGATAATCAAGGCGGTAACATGTGAAAAGACTGAAAGAACAGGGGCCTGTGGCACCCTTCACACTGGCTCCTGCTCCACCTCAAACTGCACTTCTCCGCACTCCTCCCAAGCAGCCTGCCCCCTGCAGGGCCACTCCCCCTCCTCACCAGGCACCTCCGCTGCTGCCTTCTGTGTCATGACCCTTCCTCCCTGTTATACACACCTTCTCAATGCTCTCTTCCCATCTCTCTCTCTCACCAAAGAAATCAATTTTTCTCTCTTCTGTACCTCAAACATTTGGTAAAAACATGTTGGTTTGCACACTCATGCACTGTATTGTAATTAGCCTACCCCACTAGACTATAAACTCCTTTAAAGCACTGATTAACCAATTCATCCGTGCAGTCAGTACATGAATATCAGA